AAAAATTGGAAATGGAACTCCCATTTGACCCTGTGATCCCACTTCTAGGAATATATCCCAAGAAACCAGAAACACCAATCAGAAAGGATATATGCACCCAGATGTTCATAGCAGCACAATTCACCATAGCTAAGATCTGGAAACAGCCTAAGTGCCCATCAGTAGATGAATGGATTAGAAAACTGTGGTACATCTACACGATGGAATACTATGCTGCTGTTAAAAAGAAGGAACTCTTACCATTTGCAACAGCATGGATGGAACTGGAGAGCATCATGCTAAGTGAAACAAGCCAGTCAATGAAGGAAAAATACCACATGATCTCACTCTTTCGTGGATAATTAAGACCATTACAAACTTTCGAACAATAATAAATACAGTGGCAGAGCTGCCTCAAACTGATTGTCGAACTGCAGTGGGAAGGCCAGGGAGGGTTGGGGGACAGGAGGGAGGGGAGTAAGAGATCAACCGAAGACTTGTATGCATCCATATAACCATAACTAATGGACATAAGACACTGGGGGGTAAGGGAGGGCAGGGGCTTGTCAAGGGTGGGGGGGGGGGGAAAGGACACTTATGTAATACCCTTTGTATTACTTATAGCGAAAAATAAAAAAAATAAAAAAAAAAAGATTCCTCTCTTGCCCAGGCAACCTTGCTCATAACAAGAACCTTCACAGGCCCTCCGAGCAAGAAGCAGATGCTGGTGTGCAAGGGGGTGCCTGCCGAGTCCCAGCATCTCCTTTGACCTGATGGCTGTCCCACCCGCCCCTGGGCAGGCGTTGGTTGGACAGGGAGATGACTAAGTAGAGGAATGAATGTATATTGTCTGTCCTGTGCCTCCCAGACTGAGGTTGCAGCAGAGTGAGCGCTCCATTATGAGGCTCCCCAACTGGCTGCGGCCACAGGAAGTAATCAGAAAACGCTCCTGCCCCTGGCTGAAGCCGCTTTCACCTGCAGGTGGGCCGGCAAGTAGAACCATATGACCATGTCAGCTGCCTGGAGATACACAAAAGCTTGAATTCTGCATCTGAAAGGCAGTTTGTTGTCAGTGTGGATTGAGTAAAAGGGGAGGTGGTATATACTCTGAGGTGTGGAGGTCAAGGGGAACTTCAGGTGAGTATAGCTGCATCCTCTCCTAGAACCTTAGTGCCCTGGTCATTGAATGGTTCCATCATTCAGGCTTGGTATTTAGTCCCTTTGGGCTGCTATAACAAAACACCGTAGACGGGGTGGCTTAGAAACAACAGAAATTTATTTTTCTCAGTTCTGGAGACAGGAACGTCCAAGGTCAAAGTGTCAGCAGATTCTGTGTCTGGCAAGGGCCCGCCTCCTTGTTCACAGATGGCCAGCTTCTCCCTCTGCCCTCACATGGCAGAAGGGGCCAGGGAGCTCTCTAGGGTTGAGTTTATAAGGACACTAAACCCATTCATGAGGGCTCTGCCCTCATGACCTAATCGCCTCTCAAAGGCCCCACCGCCTAATACCATCACATTGAGGGTTAGGTTTCAACATACGAATTTTGGGGGAACACATTCTGACCATAGCACTTGGTCTGATGGGATTGCAAAGTTAGAGGCTGACAACTTTTCTCTTGGGCTAAAACATCACTAGTTCGCGAGAGGCACAGTCAACAATAACACTAATGAGTGCCAGGCACTTGGGTCACCACAAACAGTATTATCCCTACTTCACAGGTGAGGACGTTGACTTTCTCAAGGTCCTCATGTAGCGGACAGTGGAACGGAGAGACACTCAGACAGGTCTGCACGCCTAACCAGTATCCTACACTGTCTCACTGCACAATTCTCTCTTCTTTAAGATCTTAGGCCCCTTTTCTATCAAGTGAAACAAATATGGACTGATTATATGCAACATTAGGAGCTTGCCGGTTCATTTCATAAATCAGTTTTCCCTAACAAAGGGAATCATCTTTCAGCAATTGAGCCTCAACTTGTTGAGTCACTACACCCCAGTGCCAGGCATAATTTATGCAGAGCTGAACAGTGAGCTCAGTCATGGCAGCAAGTTGTACCCCAGAACGATCTGTGCTTGTGGGGAGGGGGTGTCTTCCCTGGGTTAAGTTTGCTTAAAAACAGCCCATGGAACCAACCCGAGAAACCTCTTCTGTCTCTAGCAGAAAGGCTGGCCAATCCCTTTCGCTTTCTGGGAGTCTGGCCCTCGCTGGCCTGGAGGAGGCTCTGATGGAGAAGCCTCTGAGATCGCTGGGCAGGCTTTCCTCATGCTGCCCACTCTCCTTCAAGCTGCCCAGCAACCAACGGACATTCCCAAGCCACCAGGCCAATCTGCTTTTCACTCTAACCCTTGATTTGACTGGAACCTCAAAACAGGATGGGGGAAGGGGTGACAAGCAGTAAGAGAGGACAAGGCCTACTCAAACTGAGGGAGCTTTGAGGGGAATGGAGATTAAATAGCCATTGGATTTCACGAAAACCCAAGTCGATGACAGAAAAGTCATCCTGGGAACAGACAGCAAAATAATTCTTCTAAAGAATGTTTAGAAAAAAAAAAGAAGAATGTTTAGAAAAGGCAAAATCTGGTAGTTTTTTCTACAACTCTCAGTTTACCTGTACTTATTGCTGCCCAAGGCCTAATTGAGAAGTTACGTGGCGAATCTTTCCCCTGATCAACACAAGCCATTTTTCCTTTTCATATTTTTAAGTGTTTTAAATACATTCTACTTTTAACTGCTATGCTAATTAAACACAGCAATTCCTAATTCTTCCATTTAAAAATGGAGAATGTTAACCAAACTGAATGAAACTATCATTTTTTTGGAGGGGGAGGTCAAATTATTTACAATTTGTATAAATTGTTAGAGTATAAAGTGCAATACAGGCTAGATGCATTGAGCTCCATCTGACATAAAATTATAAAATATTAGCTGATTCATTTCAAAACAAAACAATAAAATATAGGAAGAACAATGAAGAATTTTACTTTAATAAAATTAAAGTCAGGGATATAAAGACTGGATCAATTTTTCTTTAATTTTTCAAATATCTTATTATTTTCCTACTGTCTTTGTTTAGTTTTAACAGGCATATTATAATATACTTGCTCTGGGAAATCATCTATGATTATAAGTAAAAAGTATGCGTCCATAAGTCCTTAAGCACAATTTCAAATACCAAAGTGTCAATGCCAAATTTCTGATTTTAATGAAGAAAATTCTTAACATTAAATAAACATGATTTCATTTACAATGCTGATTTTTAAAAGCCATCTGAAAATGAAATGTGGCAAAATTATTGCTTCCAAAGTTAAGCTGGCACAATCTATACAAGAAAGAATTAAAACAAAAGCAAACTGTATCAAAGGAATTACATAATCAACTTTTATCCCTTTTTTTCGACATTTTATACACATTTACAAAGCTATGTATCATCTTGTACTCTTGATCTTAAAGGGGATGTCCTGCTACCTTGGTCCTTAAATTCTATACATGTTAAGATATTAGTGTGTTTAACTACAGGAATGATGTAAATTTCGCATGTTAAGCAGTATAATAAATGCTTGGCAAATCTTCTACTATGAAGTTCTGTAAGTATATTACTTTGCCATACAATACAAAAAAATTCACAATGGAAA